CCGGGGATTGAACTCGGGTCCTTGCACTTGCAAGGCAGGCCACCGAACCGCTGAGCTAAATCCCCAGCCCTCCAATCACTTTCTAAGGGAACTGTTCTTACATTTCCTGCAGATTCCTAGAACAACAGTTCAGGTATTTTTTGAGTACAGAAAGTCTTCTTTTCCTACTTAACTTACAGAAAGACTTAGTTTCCTACTTAGCCTTCTTCCTACCCCCTCCCAATTACCTTGATTTGCATCTATGGTTCAGGCTGACCATGCAAAAGCAATAGTAATGCACAAAGGATCTAAGATTTCCAATAAGGGGTTGCATAATCGATTCCCAGTTTTAGTTCAACTTCCCTACTTGTTTTGTATCTACTTCGAGTTAACATACTTCTATTAAACTTTTTACATACTGAATTTTAAAATTACAGAAAACTTGGAAAAATAATGCAGAATTCCCTCATATACTTCATCCAACATCTAAAAATCATCAAGACCAAAAAACAAACACTGATAAAAGTCAAATAATAAAATATAGGTCATGTTCAATTTCAACAGTTTTCCAATAATGTCCTTTTTCTGTTCCCTAGTCCAATCCAGGATCCCACATTGCATCTAGTTATTTTACCTTACCATCCAGTATGTGGTAATTCTTCAATTTTTACTTGTCTTAATTTCAACATTTGATATCGGCCAGTTTGGGAAATGTCCCTCAGTTAGGGTTTGTGTGATATTTTATCGTGATTTGACAGATAAAGTGGTTATGTATTTTTGACAGAAATAACAAACTTCAGAGAAATGATGTGCCCCAAACACATCGTATCACCATATCCATGATATCCATGTCTTCTGTGATATAAACCTGAATCATTTGGTCTACATGGTATTTCCACTGTATAAATTTTTCCTTTGCAGTTAATAATTATCTTGGGAAAGATAAATTGAGATTATTTAAATATCCTGATCCCCACACTTTCATCCACTAGCATCATGTGTAGATTCTGTGTGCAACAATAACTATGGTTCCACTTATTTAACAATGATTTTACATTTCCTTCTTTGTTTCTTAATTATAATTCCTCATGAAGGAATTATAATAAAGCTTTGGTTTGTGAGTTTAATTAATTCCAAAAACATGTTTGCTACCCAAAGTATTTGTATATCAAAGACAATTTCCCCATGATAATGGAAATTCATATGATTCATTCCACAATCCAAAAAGATTCACATAAAAATGATAAAATACAAAATATAAAGAAAAATAAACTAACTTGCATTTACCTTTGAAAACCTTCTTCACAGGTGTAAAGCAGACAAGAGAGGAGTGTTATTGTGTAGGTTGACTGTGACTAGAGAAATCACTGCTATCTTTTGGCTCAATGGAATCTTTTTTCTTTTCCTGCAACCTAAACAAGGAATCCATCCAAAGACTTGCTTACGCCTCCTTCTGAGGATTTTGCAGAAATCTAACACTGCACATCATTAAACAGATTCATTGTTCCCATTATTACAGCCTTATCTGGTGGTATTTTTCTACAAAATTTTGCACCATTTCCCACATTTTACAGATCTCCCTAATCTCATTTGAAGAGACTCCTCCACCTTTTTCTCATTCTCCTCTGGATGTGAGCTCCTCCACAACCTTTTTTTTTTTTTTTTTGGTACCGGGGATTGAACTCCAGTCCTGTGCTTGTGAGGTGGGCGGCAAAACCACTGAGCTAAATCCCCAGCCCTCCACAGATTCTTGTTGTTGGGAGACAATTACCCACAATCCCATAGTGAGAAACAGAAAGAGAGAAAAAACACTGCCTCAGTTTTGATCATGTGACATTCAGTGTCACATACTACTCATATTGCAAGATATCGTTCATTTATCAAGTTAAAATTTATTAGAGGCTGTGCATGGTAGCCTACCCAAGTAATTCCAGTATTCAGGAGGTTGAGGCAGGAGGATATTATTGCAAGTTCAAGACCAGCCTGAGGTACACAGTGAGTTCAAGGCCAGTCTGAACTAGACAGTGAGATCCTGCCTCAAAATAGAAAAAAAAATTATTAGAATTGTCTTACATTCACAGAATAAGTTACTCACAATGCAAGATTTTACCGTATCCCTCCTTTTCCCCTACTTATCCACTTGTTCAGTATGAACTCATGGATACCTATTTTATGGGTTAAAATTCAGGACCAGTATTACTCATCTTACTGCTCACATTGTCCTAAACTTGGCCATTAGGAGCTTCAAGTTGGCTTGTGTTCTTTCAACAAGCCCCAAACTTTTCTGATTACGTCCTTAATTTCAAGACTTGTGACATGTTCCAGGCTCATCTTGTATTTTCTCTGCCCTAGCTTGAGAATCAACCACTTCTCCGAAAAAGTACTGGTCCCTTTAAAAACAAAGATTTGAGTGCTCACTGAATTTGGGTATCACTGTCAACCAACAATGCTTCAATAACCACTAGGCTGTTGTGGGTTTATTTGTTTTTTCAGATTGGGTCTCACTGTATTGTCTAGACCGTCTAGAAACCCATGATCTTCCTGCCTCAGTCTTTCATGTGGCTGGGATTACAGGCAAGTACCACCATTCCCAGTTTACCACAAATATCAGTAACTGTTTCCTTACTTTACCAAACTCAGTGGCTGGGATTCATCAGCATTTCCTGGATTGTTAGAACTACAAATTCTTGAGCCCCATCCTAGAACCCAATAGACCAAAATCTATGAGGGTCTCCTGCAGAAATTTGTATTTTAATGGGTTTGTCAGATTCGGGTGCTCACTATGAAGTGTAAAGTTTTAAGAAATACCTCTTGAAAAAAAGTTAGTTTTCCTTTATTACAAGCTTTATGTTCATTTTATCTCTAATTTTTTTAAAAAGAAACATTTAGTACTAGGAACTTGCCTAGGTAGAAATATTTGTATTGCTACAACTAATATAAACATGGATGAAGGGCATCATCTGTTGAGGCACTAAAATTTTTAGAATATAAACATGGGCATCATTTGTCGAGGCACTACAATTTTTAAATGTGGTGATCCCAGTAATTATGAAGTACAAATACTATCACTTTTATTAAAAGAAGCTGAATGTCATCCTTTCGTGATCAATTCTTGCCAACATATGTGATTTAATACCATACAGTGAATACACAAATACAGAACCTAGCACAGTTCTCTGCTAAAGTCAGACTCCCTAGGCCTGAACAACTTCTCGTACTTCTGGCTTGAATCTTGTTATGCCTTTGGTTTTTTTAAGCACAAAATGTACTAATACTACCTAGACGACAGGCATTTTGAGGGTTCAATGAGATATGGGCAATATCCCTATGGGGGCACAAAAAAGTCCTCAAAAACTAATCATCATTATTACTTAAGCTATTAAACAAAAACGAGAGGTTTTACTTTGGGGGATGAGAAAAGCCAAGTGAAACTGCACTAAAGCAAAGTTCTGCTGCTATTTCATCAAAAGATCAGAATAAAGGCAAAACCAGCTCTATTTATATACAGTACTTAAAATATTCAGAATTTAACAAGGAATGTGTTAAATTTGATTTGTTTTGTTTTGTTTTGTTTTGTTTTTGTACACTTACGGTCAAAGGCTAAGGAGACATGGACAAAGTAGAAAAACAATTTTATCTATTGAAACAGTAATAGGGCCGGGGATCTAGCTCAGTGACCAGAGTTGGATCCCCAGTACCAAAAACAACAACAAAAAAAGTATATACACAGTACAAGATGCAATGCATTAGCAAAATATCAAAAATCCTTAAATTAGTTAAATTCCATTTATTTTATTTGTTCCCTATAGATGAGCTCAAACTAGTATTATCTCTACATTAGGGAGAAAACTAGATAAAACAGTGCTTAAATGAGTCATCAAGGGCCAGGGATTTAGTTCAGTGGTGCTGATGCCTGCCTCACAAGCACAAGGTTCTGAGTTTCATCCCCAGTACCAAAAGGAAAAAAAAAAGGTTATCAAGCTGTGAACTCTGCATTCAATGCAATAAATGTTAACTAAGAGGCTCTCACTTTAAACTTAGAACTTCAGAAAAATTCCACAGCAAATGTCACTTTTTCAAACTATTCTAATCCAAAGAATTCCAAGAACATTTTTAGTTCCTCTACCATGAAGTTCCCTTTTTTCATTAAAGTAGCTGCTGTTGGTCATTTACAAAGTAATGTTTAAAAAATAAAACTAACAAAATGGGACAGCTGCCAGTCTCAATTCTTAGAAAACAACGACAAGGAAAAGACCTTGCCTACAAATCTAAATACATGTTTCAAAATCCAGAGACAATAAAACAAATGGTCTACGTCGAACGAGAATACTGTACCTCATCTCCAGATCTGTCAAACAGTACAAAGTCTAACAATTAAGCACCACTGATAGAGGTCAGAGCACTACTAGACTTTGCTGAAAGGAGGAAACTTGTGAATTTTTTCAGCATAAATAATTCAGAGTACATAGTGTAAGTGAAATAACTAAAACGTCAAACTTTGTCCCTTTTTTAGCACCACTAAGTATAAAAAAATAAAGATTAATATGAAAACCCCTGGGATCCTGCTACGCATGAAGGTAAAGGGAGTAACTACCACCTGAATTAGTCGTCAAATTTTCCCGTTTACGTTTGTTTCAAAGCTTAAAGAAATTCTGCTTCACATCTTAAAGGTCCGAACCAAAAATTTGCTCCTACTTTAACCTGTTTAATGTTTAGAAGATTCAGTTCTGTTTCATGCCCAAACAAAAATACACCCTCAACTTACCTTGTTTTCTGTTTGTGCCTTTGGGAGGTGGGGGTGGGGAGGGATCCGCTCTGTAAGACCTTTTGAAAGAAAACACCAGTTCAGATACCAAACCATGGGAAAGTTGCATATTCTTTTTTTTTTTTTTTTTTTTTTTAACTTACAAATTCTAGTGGGATTTTAGGTCGTGGAACTGTCAGCATCAGGGGAGCCCTTTGGCCTCTGGTATTCCTTCCGCTCCAGGACACCGGGACGCACTCCTACACTGCAGCCGCAGAAATGTCGTCTAGCTCCGCCCATGTGACAGCCACCTCCACAGAGAGGGGAGGCGCCGGCCCGAGGAACGCCGGGAAGGGTAGGCACTCTTCTCCGCCTCCGGCCTTCTCTTCCCCCAACTCTACACCCTTGACCCGCTACTAAAGCTAGGCCCTCCTCCGGAGCTGCTTAAAGTCCTAGCAACCAAACAAAAGAGCCCAGAATTGAGTCTCTCCAGGAGCTGACAGGACTGCAGACATCGCTGTGAGATGTCTGACCACTCCACTCTGACCTTTAAAACCACCTTAAATTCATAGATTAGAAAAACCCATTAAATCAAAAGAGACAGGTAGTCGGCATCATGGAAGCACCAGTCAGACATGACTTGGAATCCAGACTGTCATCACTAGGAGCGCATCCTCAAAGTAGCTGCTTCATCAAAACTTTAGTTAATTCCTGGGTCAAATGGGGTCAAAGTTACATACCCTCAAAGTTGTTGGGATCCTGTAAATAGCGTATATACTAAGTAACAGTAAATGATGAATCAAAAATAACTAATTACTTTGATCTTCTCATTTAAGTAACACAGGGAACATTGAGAGATGGCGAGCAATTTACCTAAAGCATGTACTGGGTTAGGGGCAAAGTCAATTAAGTAAAATTTCTGTTCTTGAACTACATCAATTCATTTCCCTTCCTTTTCTTTTTTCATAACATTTCTAACTCACTATTTTATTTTTATCTTGACTTTTTTGCCTGATTCTGCCCATTGAAAATAAACTTCAAAGGTTGTCTTTTGATTGCTGTATCCCCAGCTCCTAGAACTGGGACTGTCTAGTACACAGAAGCTCAAGTATTTGAGTTAATTATTCATATGTAACATTCTTTTAGGTGCCTTTATCCATCAATCATCCTCATTTTGACAGATGTCACTGGATTTGGGAGGACTCTCAGATTCTGTTTGATAACTGACTGCAATTTCTAATTCAAGACAGTAAGTACAATGCACTCCATTCGCTTTATTGTTTTAATTTCAGTGTAACATTTCCAGATATATATTTGTATTAGCTTTAAAATATTTCTCTATCACTTGTGAGAATGTTTGCCTTTGGTTGTTTTAAAACTTTTCCTCACTAAAATTAACAATTTTGTTCCTTTCTTTTGCATGTGTGGGTTTTTTTGTTTTGTTTTGTTTTGTTTTTTCTGGTGTCAGGAATGAACTCGGGTCATTGCACTTTTGAGGCGGGCAGTGTAACCACTGAGCTAAATTCTCAGCCTCGCTCCTATTAAGCCACAATCCTAATTATTTCTCTATCCATCCAGAAATTTGAATATTATGTACAATGAATTGATGCTTTCTCTTTAAATTGGATTTCTGCTTGCCTTAAAGCTCAAAAATTATTTCAGTAAATTTCACTTAAAATAACAGCTTTAAACCAGGTGTGGTACATACCTATAATCCCAAGATTCTGAAGGATGAGAAGAGGATAATTTAAATTTCAAGGCCAGCCTGGGCTACATAGTGAGTACAAGGTCAGCCAGAACTACAGTAAGATCCTGATTCAGAAACGTATTTTTTTTTTAAAAAAAAAAGCTTTTATTTTGAAACCCAAAGTGAAAAATACAGGATTTCTAGACATAACCCTAATATCTAGGTAAGTGGATTAATGCCAGTTACTAATCTGACTTCCCTAATATCCCTAGCATCAGAGGCATAGAAAGGGGGACTGCAAGGGCTAAAGAAAAAAAGACAAGTCGTGTGGGAGCCGGGCCATGGTCCTCTAGGCGTTTGACATTTAAAAGGAAACTTCACCTCTACACTCTAGGCATTGATACAATCTATGTAACATTTGTTACTTTTCTAGGACTCTGCTTGTTAAAATTGTTTTTTGACTCTGCAATGGAAGAAACTCAAAGAGTCAGCCACAGATCTGATGTTCTTTTAAAAGAGTCAGAAAATCGGGGTCTTTGCATAAAGATACAAATAGTTGCTTGGTGCTTCCTGTTGATGTGAGCCTATAAAAGGAGCGGTTTCTGTGAAATAAATCAGACTTCTCTTGGTCTCCACTCAGGCTTGAGTGTTCTTTCCTTTCTCAATCCTCACTCTCCAACTCAGGCATGTTCCTGTTGTGATGGCTGGGCGGCCACAAAGTCGTTAATTTCAAAGAACATGGAGGCTAGGAAATCAATGCCTCTGAGCTGTAAGGACCAGTCTTGGAGCTAGCCACTATTTATTGAGGACACAATAATTGGAGGGAGTATCAGGTGACTTGGGGAAGTGGTGATCTCAAGTCTGACCCTAAGCCCTTGCAAATCTCAGGCTGATGAAGGCTAAGAGGGGAGCATTCCCACCTCAATAGGTGGGGTTAGTTTGGCAGATAAGGAACTCCTCCCTCCAGGTGAAACCTTTTGCTTTAGTATTACTATGCTGAGTCCTCAGGAGCCAGCTGATGTTATCTAGCCTTTGAGCACCAAAGACCACTGAGGCCTCAGCTCTGACCCGGGGCAAAAGAGAGCTGTCTCCACTTTCCATAGCTGGCCCTCAGGTGAGGCAACAGTAGGCCTTAGACAGCTATAGTCATACTTTAATTATGAAATGATTTTTCCTCACAACTTATGTAGGAATGCTCCTGGCATCTAATACAGTACCACAGTATATTGCAAATTCCCTGGGTAAATGTCTCCATCTCTGTTAACACAGTATATTTAGTAAACATGAGTTAATAATTATATTTTGTTATAACCATTGCTTCTTACTCATCTTTTGATTCACTGAATTCCTCCACTTTTATCAAATTCATGAAGTAATTGTTGGTATTGATGGTGGGGCAAATCTTTATAATATTGGCTATGAATCCACTGTCTCTGTAATTTTTTTTGGTACCAGGGATCAAACTCAGGCCTTTGCGCTTGGGCAGCAGAACCACTGAACCAAATCCCCAGCCCTGTAATGTTACTTCCTAATAGGCTACCTTTGAGGTTTGGAAAACACTTACAGGAGAACATCTATTTTGACAAGAGTTTGGTTTTCACTCACTGTTAGTAATGATTTCGGTTTTTATAAAATTGCTAGGTATGGGGGGGCAGTTATGACAGAGCTAGGATTACACATTCTTATAACCTAGACAAAAGAGGGAAAATCCTAAGCAAATACATGTGCTAATGCTGAAGTGCTAGTTACCTTCATGTGCTTTGGAATCTACTTTAACATTCTCGTTATTCATTTCTTTGAAAAGTCATTCCTAAATGAGAACCAAGATCTGTCATATAATGGTACAAGATCCCAATAATAAATGTAACTGCACTGTATACTTAAAAAGTACCAATAAACTCAATGAAAAAATAATTAATACAAATCTGCATACCCAGCAGCAATGAATGCAAATTCCTGATGCTCTACCTTCTCACCAATATTTGGTGTCAGTGTTTTGAATTTTGGCCATTCAAATAAATGTGTCATTTCATCTTAAAAAAGAAAGGTCATTTCTATGCCTTTACAAGCATTTGATTCGAAAAAATCAAAACACTTAATGATCATTCAATAGTCTGTAGAATCTCTCTTCTTCTAATTGATCCAGAATATGTACAGCCTCGTTTCCTTAGGTTTCTCAAAAACAGAAGCTCTACAAGCCAGTATCCAAGTTTTTATAGTCTCCTGCCCTAATAAATGTTTTAAGGAGGCTCTTAGTATATATATTAACGTTCATAATAAGCTTAAGATATGTATAGCCTTTAGTAATTACTGTATGTCTATTAAAGAACTTTTACTAGTATGTAGTAATAACAGCCAGTTAGTATGTAGTAATAACAGAAAGCACTAGTTAATAATTAAAAGCCATGTATTAAGTATCAATACTTTTCAGTACTTTGTAGAAGTCTTGACAAATTTTCCAAATATAACCGCTAATCCAGACAACAGAATTTTTTCATTTTCCTTTAAAGATTAAAAGAGTAACAGTCTCTCGTTATTGTCCAGTATCTTTAACTAGAGCTAAACTAGGCTCCAAACGGGTTAAAACCTACCTGATTCATATAATTCCTTGTGTCAATGGCCAAATTTATGTACCGGTGAAAACATAAAAATCTAAAATTTGTGCAAGTTTGCGTAACAGATGAGTAAAATGAGTATTAGTTAAGTGAAGGAACAAAACTTTTACTTTTTCCAGAATCACTGTAATTGGTATCTAAATTACGACTTTTAAACCTATTTAAGTCAATCTCAGAGAGTCCTCTAAATTGTATAATTGAAAGAAACATTAAACTTTCTTTCAAATTATTCAGACTTTATACCAACTTTATATCGACCTTCCCTCTTTGTGGTTAATTGCAGATTTTCCACTATCTGAAATAGCTTACACAAAGCTGAACTGGTTTTTATCATGCTTTCTAGCTCACTAAACTCAACGCAGGAACCCTAAATCAAACGCAGTAATATTGCAGTGACAGAATCAAAGTAAAAATAATTGGGTCTCAACTCAAAATTACAGTACTGCCTTTAATAAAATTATATGCTTAATTCTCACTATGCATAACGCAGCACTAATAGTCTTCCTAAGAACGCAGCTGGAATAGAACTTTTGTGTAAAAGACCAAGCAATGAGGTTGTTTGCTATGGGTACATTTCGCAAAGGGAAAATCTATCCAGTGTGTCCGTAGATAGGATTTTAGACTACCTCAACAGGTGATCTGAAATTTTAAACTGGCCGACCTTTCTAACTTACACCTACAATTTCCGCCACGAAAAGACGATTACTGCAAAAATCTCCACATCTTCACTCCTGCTAAGGATACTTGGAAAGGCACAGCTAAGGTGGCAGTTGATAAAAGTTTCCAGAGAAACTGCGCAACAGGCTGGACCCGAGGGTACAGCTCGATATTCTCCGCCCTCTTCTCCCTTGTCCTTTCCTGGACTCTCCGCCCTGGGGGCCGGGACGGGCGTCTCCCGGGTGGTTGCTAGCAGCTAAACGTCGTACAAACATTATGCCCGTCGCCCCCACCAGTCCCTCCCTCCGGCTCGAGGACAGGGATGTCCTACTCCTTCTTCTCCTCCTCTTTGGTGCCTTCAGCCAGGAGGCGGGAGTGACCCAGAGCAGCTGACCCAGCTCGGGCACTGCCTCTCCCACAGCCCTCAGACACACCATGGGCCCAGAGGCAGGTTTGCGGCACAGCAGCGACGACGCAGGTGGCGGCCCCGGCGACTCTCAGCTGCCTCCCTGACCATTGCAGGCACCGCCCAACATCCCCGAAGAAGCCATCGACACCGCCAGTAAGAAAACCTAGGGGCCGGCGAAACTATCTTCACGATTCGCTACAGCTACGCCAACAACTATGGCGGACGAGGGGCGGCGGGCCGAGCCGGCGGGCGAGCGCTGGGGGATGTACGTCACGTCCAGGGCCCCCCTGCGGGAGGGAAGGCGCCGCCGGGCTTCTCAAGATGGCGGCGGCGGTGACGCGCTCGCGTACGGAACTCCTCCGTCACGGCAGGGCCGGCGGGAAGTGAGGTTCTCAGAGGAACCGCCAGAAGTGTACGGCGACTTCGAACCCCAGATGGCCAAAGAAACGTCCCCAGTGGGAAGACAAACCCCGCCCAAAGAGTTCCAGCCGGATTCTGCTAAAGAGGAAGGGAGAGAAAGCGCCTACTACCTTCGGTCTCGGCAGCGGAGGCAGCCCCGACCCCAAGCAGTCGAAGAGATGAACACGCGGAGGACCGCCCGCCTTCTGCAGCCTCCGCTACAGCCGTCGCCGGTTACGAGCCGG